GCACATTGAGATGTATGTATATAATTTCACCCGAAATTACAGAGTTCCTCAGTAAATTTGGAAAACCATTTCGTTGGTCGTTCATTTGCAAATTGTCAGTCCCTCATATCGAGCTGGACTTTTCCTGTTGCAAAACATCAATCCATTGTCTGACATTTCACTATTCATTCGTTTCATACAATATCCAGTCTGTTCCCACTCTTCCTTTCTGTATCTTTCCCCATGTTCTGCTGCCAGACATAACGTTGACGCTCACGTCATCTACTACTTATAAGTAGCTCGCACGACGCTCTTTTTCCCTCTTTTAACAAGCTGTCGTCACTTTTAAAAAAGGGACCTTGATCATCAAATATCACCTTCGTATTCCGTGACGCGCTACAATATGTCGGACTACTACTGCGTTCATTGTTCTCGCCCGCTTGTGTGGAATGGTTACGGCACCTATCCAACTTGTTTTGTTTACTAGTTCCCGCTGCTGGGACACGGCGGCAGGCACACTCTCGATAAATTTCGACGCCAACAACTGTGCCCCCGACTCCCCATCCATACTCGGCAGCGTACGGCGCAGCAACATGGTGAGCATCAACGGGTCAATATCATCATAATTCGTTTTCATATATATCATTTTTCTATAAAAATTCATTACTCACTTAATTACACTGAAAATAATTAAACACAATTTATTTTACTATGTTTCACTTTTTCTTTCTTCTTGTTATCATTGATCATTGTGTACAGTGTTCAATTTTAAAATTAATTCTTTACTTGTAATCTATCTCTTTCGTTTTCTATCTTCCATGTTTTTATTTATCGACATAAATTATCTGTCAAAATTAGTTTGAACAGTTAACTGATGGGTATGTTAATCAATCGAAATTTCATGGAAATAAGAAAACTGATTTCGCTCATCAATCAGTTCAAGGTCCACAATTCAATCAGATTGGTGAACAGAATTTCATTGTAGAGAATATTAGATCAAGAAGCGCAGATCGTGTAAGAGTATATTATAAAACAACGAATATATTTTCTAATACACCTTACAATTTTTTTCAAACAAAACTGCATACTTTATAATAAATCTCTGTTGACTTTACTGACAAGAATTACAGTATATATGTGGTGTGTGCTACTTATACGAACGATATAATTAGTATAAGAATGGGGACGTGAAAGAAGAAGTCTCACCACGGTCAGAAGAGGAAAACGGAAAGCAAATGGAGCAAAAGCAAGAAATAAATGGAGTACCAACAGATGAAGGAAAGGAAGCAACAACAGGAATGGAAGAAGGATGGAGTGTTGGAAGTCACGACTCAAAGATGGTGTGCAAATAGAGTGTTCAATGTAATGTTTTCGTTTTTAATTGACTTAGAGTGTAAATTTGGAAAATACACTACAGGCGCGGAAGATTGTATTATCAGAATTTACACTCTTAGTCAATTAAAAACGAAAACATTACATTGAATAGACTCTAATTGCACACCATCTTTGAGTCGTAACTTCCAACGCTCCATCCTTCTTCCACTCCTGTATAATTAGCACACACTACATATATACCGATTAAATGAAAGAGTTCGTTTTATTTATTACAAAGAAACAAACTAGGCATAGATTGTATTCCTTCAGTAATCAATGAAAAATAGTGTCAGACACAAAGATGATTACTGTCATTGTTTTGCCTGCCTCTTATAACCGACTGGATTATGAAGACATCAACATCTCAATGGAAGCGTAGAATACAATGGATAGCTCTGATGCATATGGACGATTTGAATTTCCTAGATAGCCTAGCTCTTCTATTCTACAGACAGCAAAAAATACGGGGAAACACGGCTGGTGTAGTAACAGCCTCCACAGAAGCAGGTTACAACACACACACTCAAGGAATTCAGCAGGGTCCTTCGATACAACACAACGAGCATCAACAACCAAATCACATTTGATGGACGAGACTTGAAAGATGTGTAAAACCTCTATTCACGTGTGTGAACCAGCATCAATAATAAACAAGGTGGATCTGATATAGATCTAAAGACAAAGATTAACAAAGCAAGGACATCTGGAACTCAAAACACCAGTCAATAAAACACCAAAATCACTATTTTCAATACAAACGTCAAAACCATCCGATTGTGTGGAGTGGAAAGCAGAAGAAGAATTATGAAAGCCACCATCCAAAGTATATAGATATCATCTATAAAGAGTTTTCTGCGCCACACACCATTACCAGCTGCATACTATGTGAGAGAAAGAACCAGTTTGCAAATGAAGAAGAAATAAGGAGAAAGCGGTGGATGTAGGTGTGACGCACTGTGGTGTGCGAATGATCGAACTGCGCCACAAAGCTAGCCCTAACTTAAATCCCAGAGGTGAATAAAGGAGGTAAACCAAGGGATACACTGAACCGAGAATTGGAGACAAACAGGAAAAGAATGAATAGTGATTGGGCAGAATTTGAAAGGACGGTTTATGAATAAATAACAGGCACATATCTTTTAAATTAAGGAATATCTATCTCATAATGAACAGCATTCATCAGTCAGTACACATTGCTGATTAGCCCATTAATTTAGGAAACAATTATCCCACATACTTACGCCTGTTACCCCCAACGGAGCATAAGCAGCCGACCAGAGTTCTCCAACCCACTCTGTCCTGGGCTTCCCTTTCAAGTTCTGTCCAGTTGTCGATCAATCTTCTCATATTTTTTTTTCTATTTCTCAGCGTAATGTGTTTCTTGGCCTACCCCTTTTCTTTTGACCTTGAGAGTTCCATGTGGGGACTTGTTTTGTGACACAGTTGGGTGTTTTCCGCAGTGTGTTCTATCCACTTCCAACGCTTCTTCCTGATTTCCTCCTCCTCTACTGGAATCTGGTTTGTTCTCTCCCACAGTAAGCTATTTCTGATCGTGTCTGGCCAACGAATCTGAAGTATTTTGCGAAGATAACTGTTCATAAATACTTGTATCTTCTGGATGATTTCTTTAATAGTTCTCTCAGTTTCCATCCCATACAACAGAACTGTCTTGACATTTGTATTGAAAATTCTGACTTTGGTGTTTATTGATTTTTACTTTGAATCCCAGATGTTGTTCAATTGTAAAAATGTTGCCGTTGCTTTGCCGATCCGCGCCCTCACATCTACATCAGATCTACCTTGCTCGTCAATGTACAATCAATCTCATAATGAACAGTATTCATTAGTACATATTACTAATTAGCTCATTAATTTAAAAAGAAAATCTTTCCTACATACAATAACCAAATGTTACATTACTAACAATTCTCAACACATTATTTAACATTTTCATATTTTTTTCAACTTGTTTACTTACTTACTTACTTACTTACTTACGCGTGTTACCCCCAATGGAGTATAGGCCGCCCACCAGTTTTCGCCAATCAAATCTGTCCTGGGCTTCCCTCTCCAGTTCTGTCCAATGTTTGTTCGTTCTTCTCATATCTTCCCCTATTTCTCGACGTAATGTATTCTTTGGCCTTCCTCTTTTCCTTTAGCCTTGACGGTTCCATGTGAGGGCTTGTCTCGTGAAGCAGTTAGGTGCTTTCTTTTCAACTTGATAGTCATCCTTTTTTGTAAATCTACTATTCTAAATGATAGTTATCAATAATAATAATAATAATAATAATAATAATAATAATATTTATTCTCAAATAACTACGTTACAAGAGTCACGCCAGTTTACAGGCTAGATCAAATTATCACAAATGCTTTCACATTTACTGTAAAAGTTATAGCAGTTAAATTAAGTGTATAAGAGTCAGTTTCTGATAGCATAGCATTTACACCATGTCACTGACAGAAACAGTATAATACAGCCACATTTTCAATAGTAGAGTACAAATAAGGAACGAAGGTGCACAATAGGTCCTTTTGGCGATTTGCCGAGATCAATAAGTGAATTTGTTGAGAAAGGTCATATGGAACGCGCTGGATACAAGCTGTGATCCAGACAGTCATGTGCATAGGGTGGTGCATGTTCCCTAGAGTCGCGAAGGATTTCCCACCGTGAATAGGGTTCTGAAATGGGAGAAAAGGGAGAGAGAGAGAAAAAGGCAGCAGTGTGGCAAGTTTATATAGACATATAACTAAAGCACAACTTAACATGTCATGTTGCAGTAGTCAATACAGCAGTAGTAAGTCAAGATAAAAACTCATACTGACCACTTAAATGAAAGTAACTTATGGAAAAATATGCAGCAGCCTCTGCAGCAGTAGGTCTCAACATACATAAAGGAAAAAGCAAAAATTCTCCGATGCAACACAACATGCACCAACCAACTCAATCTTGATGGAGATGCTTTGGAGGACGTTAACACCTTTACATATCTGGGCAGCATCATCGACGAGAAAGGTGGATTCGATGCAGTTGTGAGTGCGCGGATTGGCAAAGCAAGGGCTGCATTTCTACAGCTGAAAAATATCTGGAACTCCAAACAACTTTCAACCAAAACCAAAATCAGCATTTTCAATACAAATGTCAAGAAAGTTCTACTGTATGGAGCGGAAACTTGGAGAACTACGAAAGCCATCATCCAGAAGATACAAGTGTTTATTAACAGTTGTCTTCACAAAATACTTCGGATTAGTTGGCCAGACACGATCAGCAACAACCTACTTTGGGAGAGAACAAACCAGATTCCAGTGGAAGAGGAAATCAGAAAGAAGCAGTTGAAATGGATAGAACACACACTACGAAAAGCACCAAACTGCGTCACGAGACAAGCCCTCACATGGAACCCTCAAGGCAAAAGGAAAAGAGTAAGGCGAAGGAACACATTACGCCGAGAAATAGAGAAAGATATTAGATGAATGAACAAACACTGGACAGAACTGGAGAGGGAAGCCCAGGACAGAGTTGGTTGGAGAAAACTGGTTGGCGGCCTATGCTCGATTGGGAGTAAAAGGCGTAAGTAAGTAAGTAAATGGAAAAATATAAGAATATAACCCACAGATAAAAGAGTACAGCAAAAAAAAGGAAGAGTTAGTTGTACAGTGTCAAGTAAATAGAAGAGAAGTCGAAGTAAGAAGCTGGATTTATGTAAGTTGATATCGAAATTTCAGTTGAAAGAGTAGAGTTTGTAAAAATTTTGTCAAAATATATGATATGCATTGCACAAAATATTCAGTAAATGTTTTCATTGTGTAGTAGATCTGTTTGATACAATTGATTGATCAGTTTTTCTCTCTAAATCAATCAATCCATATTGATTTATGCATTAAACATTGTTTTGTGTTGTTGTTGTTGTTTTTCGTCTATTCATCGTGATTTCAGAGTCCAGCTGATCCGATCAATTCAACAAGTTCTTGTCCAGAAACAATATGTCCATCAAATGATATGAGTTCATTTAAAGTAAGTTATTATTCTATCATAATAACACTAAAGTACGAGTGTACTGCGCAGTAGTTCGCTCTGTCTTACTTTATGGCTGTGAAACATGACCAGTGAGAGTAGAAGATATTCGTAGGTTACTGGTTTTCAATCATAGGTGTCTTCGAAGCATTGCTCGTATATCCTGGGACACCCGAGTGAGCAACGCTGTTATTGGGAAACAGGTGCTAGGTAAGAATGGCAGATCAATAGATGAAGTATTGAAACTTCATCAGTTGAGTTGGTTGGGACATGTGCTGCGTATGCCTAACCACCAACTGCCTCGAAGAGCTTTGTTTTGTAGTGTAGGAATAGGTTGGAAGAAAGTTAGGGGTGGCCAAACCAAAACATGGCAGAAATCCATGAAGTAATTGACGAGTGGACTTAGCCATGTCGGTAATTGTCGACTACCTGGTTGGGGTCCGCGAGATGATAATAATCGATGGCTAGAGACCCTGAATGACATGGCTCAAAATCGTTCGCAATGGCGCCAGTGCATTTATTCTTTGTGTTCTCTCAAATCCTAATCTTCTGGATTCTTCAACAACTCTAGTTTTGACTTTCTAAACTTCTCTGATTGAATCATACTTCTTGAATAATATCTTCTAATCCTAACCTCTCCGATTACTTCTAATTCCCTTACTACCTCTTCTACTATTGGATTTGAATTGACGATTGCTTCTCTGTGCTGATGTGGTATGGCGACATGAACTGATGTACTTACGTACAAAGTCCTACGTTGCGTGTGACTGACTGACTGATTATGCTATCATTATGATAAACGATAATACCAGTTTTTCAATTAGAGTTATGGGGATTAGTATTTTTTCACATATTTGAAATCATCAATCAATCATTGTTAGACCGACACCATTAGAAACCTGGAAGAAGCACTGAGAAACGGCCGTTTCGTTCTGGTATGATACTCATCAGTGACACTGCGCACCCACGACTCCTTCATCTCACAGGATTCGAACCAGGGACCTTCGGTATGGTGCACGAACGCCTAACCTTTGGACTACTGGGCCAGCATCCAACGGTGTTAATGTCTAACTCTGATCAATCTAGAGACTTTGCACGACCTCATTCATTTGTCTTTCGTAGTTACTGCTTACCTCGGCAAGGTTGAACTCTACCTTTTACAAACAATTTTATTGAACAATCTTTTTTGAGATAATTCAATAGAAGATACAGAAATCCTTGGAAATAGTGTATATTCATATACATTAAGATTAATTTAACAAATGTGTAATATTCTTCAAATTCATACCTAGAATAAAGTCATATATTTACGATTGTAGATGACAGAACTAATATGTATATAAATCATGGGATTTTACTGATATGCTAGATGTTTGTCGCTTCATCAAAAATCTTACCACTATTGTCATCTTGGCAGTTTTAGTAAATAATCTATTCTCATGTTAAACTTATCATTTGATTATTTTTAACGATGTAGTTGTATGGTGGAGAAGATTTGTAGCTCAGGTGGATGATTGTGATGGTGGTTTTTAGTTCTCTGAGCTGGAGGTTTTGGTTGTGGAGCTTTCATTGTTCTCCTGCTGAACAACATCATCGTTAGCACAAACTTCAGATAGAAGTGAAGCATTCGAATTTATCCATGTTCATCTCAATAGCGCCAAGCTTAGCTAAAGAAACTCTCTCACTGCTCCTCATCAACGACACAAATATACAAAGCTTCAGAGTCAAAGTCTTCTTGAACTCATCGACCTATGCTTAACAACGTATCTTCAGTTCAACAACAGAGTCTACGAACAAATAAAAGGAACACCAATTGGATTCGCCAGTATCAGGACTCATTGCGGAAGCGGTAATGCAGAGACTGGAAGCGTCGATTTTACCGGTGATCAAGCAAAAAATGTGCTTTCGCTATGTAGACGACACATTCGTCATCATCAAAAAGAACGAGCTGGAGAACATCTACAATCAGATCAACAACGTCTTTGATGACATTAACTTCACGATGGAAAAGGAATCAAACAACAGTCTATCATTCCTGGATGTACTAATCACCAGAACTAACACAGGAAAACTGGAAATTCAAGTATTTCGGAAACCAACCCACACAGACGTGATTCTCAACTCAAGAACACACAAAATCAACTGCATACAAACGTTGTTCAAGAGAGCGAAGAGACACTGCAGCACATACGAATCACTAAAAAACGGGGAAAAACACCTGATGACTATCTTCCAAAAGAACGGCTATCCACGCAACTTCATCAAAAAACATCAACCGAAACCATCATCAGAAGCGAAATCAAGCACAGGAACCAATAAACGGATCATCCTACCATACATAAAAGACATATCGGAGCATACAGCACGACTACTGAAACCATTTGGAATAAGTGTGGCACACAAACCGACAAAATCACTTCACTCAATCCTATGACAAAGGAAGAAAAACCAACTATCAACTACAAAATAAATTGGTCAGACTGTGAAAAACACTACATAGGACAAAGTGGACGACCTCTTCAGCTTCGTTTACGTGAACATCTATTAGCAGTCAAACGCCACGACAACTCTTCGCTTATATCAATACACACCGACAATTATGGACATACAGTCGATTTTAACAGTGTGGAAATACTGGGTAGGGGGAGGACAGAGAACACTAGGGAATTTTTAGAAGCTTGGCACTCAGGTCAATCAATCAGCAATCAACAAACACATCGACATTGACCCAATTTATCAACCAATCAGGAAAATCATAGGTGACATAGGATCAAGAAACAGATCAAAAGGGGGATACAATCAAAACGAAGGTGCAAACAACGACAGATTTAAGGTCAACAGCAACCAATCAAGATCGAGGTTAGCAGAACAAGCTACAGGTCAAACGTGGAGAAATTCGAATGCTTCACTTCTATATGAAGTTTGTGCTAACGATGATGCTGTTCAGCAGGAGAACGATCAAATCTCCACAACCAAAACACCCACCTCAGAGAATCAAACACCACCACCACGATGTAGTTGTGTGCTGGTCGATGCCTCACTAAGTTTTGTGACGGTCGATATTCAATATGTTCTTTGACAACGTATACCGCTAGTCCAAACAACCGTTACTAAATAACGCCTTATAGTTTATCAACCAAAAGTAGAATACGAAGTGTTGAATAGGTTTGTTTGGCACGCAACAGATAGACTAGCAGACTATAGGCACACTAAGCGAAAGACAATCAAGCTGGCGAGTAAGCGAATCGACGAATTGGCGAATGAATTAATACGATTAAAATGTGCATATATATATATATATATATATATATATATATATATATATATATATATATATATATATATACGAAAATGAATGAGTCATCGATATGGTTTTAAGAGGCTAACAGTGAAGTGAATAGGATGAATATGCGTGTAGGCGGTAAGCAATAATATTCAGTCATACTCGACAATAGTAAGCGCCAATGGTAATATGTGCAAGTCATCGCTATACGAATCAGTCAGTTAAGTTAAAAGTTTAACCAAATTAAATATGAACAAACGCAAATGTACATGAGGATGTACTGCAGTTGTATATCCTTCAAAAATAGCGAATTTTCAAAGTCACAAGTTATGTATTCAATTTTGGAACATTACAAATGCATATCGTATCAATCTTTTAATTTAGTAAACTGATTGAGGTAGTAGGTGCTTAATAATAAATAGTTAAGCGTTAGCGACGTGACCTCAAGCTCTTAGGTTTGACTGACAAAGGCCGATGAGTTTACATGGCTGACATAGAAACTACCCAATGTTTTCTCATTCCAACGGTACCCCGGCCTAAGTCAGTCAGTGAACTTCAATCAATATGTTTACATCACGCTTAAATACTTACTTACTTGACTTACTTACGCCTGTTATCGCTAATGAAGCATAGGCAGAATTATTTTTCTGGTTATCGTTTTTTAGCGAGTTGGATTTCTACGGGCTGGGGTAGCCAAGCCCATGCCTAAACCTCCTCCTTCAACCTGGCAGTAACCCTAGAATTAATTTTTTTTAAAACACTAAACTCACAATTCAATTACTATTCACTATGACCCGGAACCTTCATCTCTTTTTTTTCGCCTACAATCAACTTTTGGCGGGTTAATATTATTGTAGGGTGTTCAAGGTGAAAATGGATCAAATGAATGGTGTAATCGATCATGTAAAACTGTCACCGGGATTACAGGGTTAAAAGGAGTAAAAGTAAGTTCAAGATTATTTATCTTCTGATTAGTGTATATCAATCACTTTGAATTGACGAACAAATCAACAACGCTTCATTAGTTAATACTCAAATAAGAGATATAGTTTTCTGTATTATGGGGTTGTGAAGATTGTTAAGTTACACATTTTTGAAACCATGAATCGATCAATGTTAGACCATCATTAGAAACCTGGAAGAAGCACTGGACGGCCGTTTCGTCCTGGTATGGGACTCGTCAGAAGTGCGCATCCACGACTCCTGCACCCTGCAGGAATCGAACCCAGGACCGTCGGTAATGTGCGCGAACGCCCTAACCGTTAGACCACTGAGCCGTTATCTAACGGTGTTAATGTCTAACTTGATCAAATTCACGGAGTTGCGCAACTTCATACACAGTCTTCGGTAGACACTGCCTACAGCCGAACAGGTTGAACTTGACTGGTCACGTCTTCCCACTAGAACTCGGAGAAGATTCCTCACGAAGCTAGTCACTAGTGAGCACAGGTAATTTGCTGAGGAGTCCCATACCAGGACGAAACGGCCGTCCAGTGCTTCCAGGTTTCTAATGGTGGTCTAACATTGATCGATTCATGGTTTCAAAAATATAGTTTTCTCACAATCAGATTCGCTACCAGTGTTAATGAAAGAATTGAAAGAAAGCACGCTTTTCACTGTATGTTTAAAGTACACGTTAGTTATTTCCATAGCTAATTGTAGTCATGTTGTAATTAACCATCACGTGATCTGATCTGACGCGTCTGTAAACCTTCTTTGTTGTAAATGACCTACAAATTGATTGACATTAATATCTTATTATATTGATGTGACTCATAACTGTACTCATTTCCATTAGACACGCAATATTAGTCGGTATGTTTGCTCGTTTCACTTGATAACTACTGTAATTTCCTCAATTATTGTACTAATGTAATTGTTTTTGTGTTTAGAAACAGATCAAGTTTAAAACAAAAGTTGATCTTGTTCTGACTATAGCTTTCCCTTAGATTCTGTGCTCGCCAATACTGCGTTTACAGTTAGTTCTAGAAGTACATCTGTAGGACAAAAAATAAATCCTGCAGTACATATATCATTCCAAATGCACTAATTGTAATTAACTATTAACCTCTAATAAAGTACTTTTTCACATACACTCGACTTCCTGTCTATGTGTTCTGCAAATCTATTCCTTGTACTAAATTAATAACATAAACTCATTAAGCAGATAGAACTGTCTGTGATTTTGGTTCAGTTCAATTTTTGCTTAGCATAAGCTTAGCTACTGGTTTGTCTGCTTATATATGTACATGCATGAAATCAAAGGTGCCCATAACATACTTTGTACTAACTGACCTTCTTACTTAGGTCCTATTCAGTAAACAATGGTATTTTTTAACATAACTGATGCAACATGAACTGGAATTTTGTTAAAGTACTTTTTTCGGTAATCTTTAGTTTAATTCAACTTCCAAAATGGATACTACCTCATGCTACTTGTTTGTAAGTTTTTCTATAATCCCGCTTTGATTAATGCAGCAGTGATATGTTGTAGCGAAATAAATTACATTGAATATTTCAAAAAAGGCCTTCTAATTCATAATATACACTTGAAACTATTTCGAGTTCATCTTACTCGTTAAATGAGAGCGAAAACAAAATGATCCAGTGAGACGATAGGCTACAACCCCGACCCTGCTAACTATAACAAAAGTCTTGATAAAGCGTGGCAAGTGTATTATTCTACAAGCACCCAGAAAATATGAGGTCCACAAGCACACAAATCTAGTTTATTTACACATGATGGAAACGTCTTTCCTTGACAGAGAGCCACAAAAATAGGGTACTCAAGTAAAACATCAACCAATGACAGACAGTCAAGGATTTTCCTAGTTAGAAATGTAATCTCAAGGTCAACTGGTCAACTCATGCGCGCAAACACAAAATCCAAAATTAGGACTTTTATCTAGTAAGTTCTGAGGATCTAATGTCCCCAACAAATATAGACTGAGGAAAAATCTCCATTTTTGTGTTTTTCTAGTAAATAAATAACGCTATGAGTAAGATCTAGTCAAACTTATTTTCGCGTAGTTTATTAAACAAATTAACGATGAATTTGAATGAAAACCCTGAATTTTTTGAATACTATTTTAAAACAAACTTATTATGACTTTTATTATGAACAGGTTCCATGTAGCTCAAAACTCTTTCCCTGAGCTATGGAGATTTCTCTAGAGTGATTGATTGATAGGGAGTGAAGTAGTCGAGCGTGTAGACTGCTTCACTTATCTGGGGAGTCTCATCAGTGCCGATGGCCTGGTGACTGACGAAATCTCAGCACGGATACAGAAGGCTCGATTGGCTTTTGCCAACCTGCGTCACCTATGGCGTAGGCGAGATATCCGTTCGCTGACCAACGGACGGGTGTACTGCGCAGAAGTTCGCTTCGTTCTCCTATATGGATGCGAAACATGGCCGTTAAGAGTAGAAGATGTTTGTTGGGTACTAGTATTCGATCATCGATGTCTGAGAAGCATTGCTCGTATACCGTAGGACAATCGAGTAAGCAATGCTACAGTTAGGAAACGAGTATTAGGTAAGGATGGCAGATCAATAGATGAAGTATTGAAACTTCATCAGTTGAGGTGGTTGGGACATGTGTTGCGTATGCCCAACCACCGACTGCCTCGAAGAGCTTTGTTTTGTAGTGTAGGAATATGTTGGAAGAAAGTTAGGGGCGGCCAAACCAAAACATGGCAGAAATCCATGTAGTCATTGACGAGTGGACTTAGCCATGTCGGTAGTTGTCGACTACCGATGCTTAGAGACCATGAATGACATGGCTCAAAATCGGTCGCAATGGCGCCCGTACATTTATTCTTTGTGTTCTCTCAAATCCTAATATTCTGGTTTCTTCAACACCTCTAGCTTTTACTTTCTAAACTTTTCTCATTAAATCATACTTCTTGAATAATATCTTCTAATCCTAACCTCTCCGATTACTCCTAATACCTTTACTACCTCTTCTACTATTGGATTTGAATTGACAATTACATCTCTGTGCTGATGTGGTATGGCGACATGAACTGATGTACTTACGTACATACAAAGTTCAACGCTGCATCTGACTGACTGACTGAGAGTGATTGATATTTTACACGACAGGTTAATTAGATCTGTGCAAAAGAAGTTTTTTTAAAACTAATCTCTGTTACTTTCTAGTTTTATAATTGCTCATAAAACCACGAAATACTCACTGTCATTTACGTCCTATTATGATAAGTTTAAACAGTGAACATCCACAATTCACGAACTCAGAACCTACAGGTCTGACAGACAGTGCTTAACTATGAGACTAGTGAGTTAGTATTCAGTGGTCTACATTCCTCTAACTCCAGTCAATTTCCAATGCTGTCCAGGTGTTTTCCAATGCAGTAGTTGTTGGGTAACTGCTCCAATCATGATATAGTTGAACTCCACTAGTCATGCTTTCTCAAAAAAATATCCGGGAACTGTCTCTCCAAACCAGTCATTAAAAACCACATGATTATTAATAGTTTAAGGCAGTGGTGGAGATTGTAAAATACCATTGTTTCACCACACATATATTATCTGGTTCTACTGTGACAGCATGTGTAGGTTGGAGAATATTGTTCGGCAGCCTATACTCCATTGGAGGTAACAGGAGTAAGTCAGTAAGTAAGTAAGTATGTGCTGATGAACTTAGCTGGTGTCAGGACTACTGATAACTTACCCAGTGAATTAGTGACAAAACCTCCAAAAACAACTGTGTTCTGTTATATCTGATCAACAGTGGTTATATGGTCAGCTTAAACCAAGTATCCACCAGAATGGTTCCTTGTATGCTACTAAGTTTTCTCTTATTGAGACTCAACTTGGTTTCATTTTATATGACTAAAGTTATGAGGGTTCGTGGTACAGACATTTGTTTCTGTATTCGTAAAAATTTCCTAACAACCCTTATTTTATCTTGACTAAGGTTTTGACCAAATCTCCACACACTTTATCTAAATATTTTTTCCTTAATTTTCGTACCTTATCTTCATTACTTAGGGATTTAGACTTGATTATCTGCAAGCTACTAGTTGATTCATATTTGACCGTTCTCATAAACTTAACTTGAGAAGTCTGAGGCAGGCGCGGAAGATTGTATTAAGCAAATTTACACTCTGGGTCAATTAAAAAAGAAAACATTACATTGAGCACTCTATTTGCACACCATCTTTGAGTCGTGACTTCCAACACTCCATCCTTCTTCTTCCATTCCTGTTGTTGCTTCCTTTACTTCCTGTTGGTACCACTCCATTTACTTCTTGCTTTTGCTCCATTTGCTTTCCGTTTTCCTCTTTTGACCGTGGTGAGACTTCTTCTTTCACGTCCCCCTTTTTATACTACTTATATCGTTCGTATAAGTAGCACACACCACAATCTTAATGTTTTGATCTATTTACTGTGTTGAACTTTTTATTTAAGCTGTTAATATAATTATATTTATTACTATTCATCCACATACTGTTGTCGTATATAAATTCACATATATATAAATATCGCTGTCGATTAGAATAAAACTTGACAATGATGATCAGACTGAAAATGATATTTTTCACTTTGACTTTCATTGATTTACTTAACAATATCATTGATAATTTCTTATTTATTTCAGGGTTCAAAAGGGGATAAAGGAGATACACAGTTTTTATCATTTTCAAAAGCTTTACAATTAATTAAATACACTTTAAACATTACAGTAAGTTTAACTTATTAATACTATATATATATATATATATATATATATATATATATATATATATATATATATATATATATTTGACAAGATATGAAATATGGTAGGTCAATCAATCAACCGCATCGTAGCACAGAGACGCAACTGTCAGTTCGAATTCCATAATAGTAGAGGTAGTAAAAGTATTAGCAGTAATTGGAGAGATCAGTGTTCGATGATATTATTCAAGAAGTAGATTCTAGTGAAATAGACTTGAAAAGATAAAGATAAAAGTGATGAAGATCTCCAAGGTTAGTATTTGAGAGAACACAAAAAATGAATGCAGCTGTGCCATCGCAAACGGTTTTGAGCCATGTCACTCAGGGCCTCTAACAACCATCAACTACTATCATCTCGTGGGCCCCAGCCCACTTGTCAGTAACTTCATGGATTTGTGCCATGTTTTAGTCTGGCCGCCCATGGCTTTCGTCCAGCACATTCCTACACCACAAAACACCACTCATCGAGACAGTCGGCAGGTGAGCGTTTGTAACACATGTCACAACCACCTCAACTGATGAAGTTTCACAACTTCATCTATTGACCTGCCATTACTTACCTAGGAACCGTTTCCTAACAACAACATTGCTTACATGGTTGTCCCACAATACACAAGCAATGCTCCAGAAGCAACTCCGGTTTATTTTTGTAACAGATTGATCAACATCAGTAGACATCTTTTTTTTAGTGTTAAAACTAAACTGAATGTTCTCTTGTTTCATCACTGAACTGAAACAAATAACTGAATGGTACATATGCAGGTAATAATTTTATTTTATTTTTTCTAATTGATAAGAAATCTATGATTTAATTGGATCAAGTGACGATATTCAAAATTTCAGTCTGAATAGTTTATCATTTAAAGACAAGACTAACAACCAGTTATACATTTCGCAGTCTAGTCAAACATTGTTAAACTAAGTGCAGTGAAGGAGAACACAGGTGAGGGCAACCGAATTGTATTTAACGAATATTACAGAGTTACTCAGTTAAACTGGAAAACCATATCGTAAACTGTTAATTTGCAAATCTTCAATCCATCATCAATCCATTGTCTGACATTTATTTCACTTATGCATTGTGTATTTCCACTCTTCCTTTCTTGATCTTCCCCCCCATCTACTGCTGCCAGACATTACGTTTACACTCACGTCATATACTACTTATAAGTAGCGCGCACCACATAAGGACCTAATGTTTTCACCAGTAAACACGATAACTTTAAAATTATTAAAAAACCAGTACACAATAGAACACAACATTTGTAAATTCAGTCACAAATCAATTACTTACTTACTTACATACGCCTGTTACCCCCAATCGCGAGCATAGGCCGCCTACCAGTTTTCTCCAACCAACTCTGTCCTCGGCTTCCCTCTCCAGTTCTGTCCAATCTTTGTTCATTCCTCTCATATCTTTCTCTATTTCTCGGAGTAATGTATTCTTTGGCCTTCCTCTTTTCCTTTTGCCTTGAGGGTTCCATGTGAGGGCTTGTCTCGTGACGCAGTTAGGTGCTTTTCGTAGTGTGTGTCCTATCCACTTCCACCGCTTCTTCCTGATTTCCTCCTCCACTGGAATCTGACTTGTTCTCTCCCACAGTTCGTTGTTGCTGATGGTGTCTGGCCAACGAATACGAAGTATTTTGCGTAGACAAATGTTAATAAACACTTGTATCCTCTGGATGATGGCTTTGGTAGTTCTCCATGTTTCCGCTCCATACATTAGAACTGTCTTGACATTTGTATTGAAAATCCTTATTTTGGTTTTGTTTGAAAGTTGTTTGGAGTTCCAGATATTTTTCAGTTGTAGAAATGCAGCCCTAGCTTTGCCAATCCGTGTCACAAATCAATAATAACTATAAATGTAAGCTGACAATAATACTGTTCAATGATTGAAAATGTGAATCACTGGATAGATACTTAACTGTGCTTAGACATATCACACTTGCTACGAGACAACATAAACACCGGTGGTTGATGGGTGAGTTGTTAAGTTCCAGATTGAAGGAAACTATCATGATAGATAAATACACAACTTGTATTAATAATGATCCCTATCTACGGATCATCTACCTTTTTTTCCATTCTTTATCATTTCTAGCCATCAAATTATTTTCAAAAAGGTCAAAAAGGTGATAGAGGTGATAGCATCTCCAAAGAACTCATTCAACAAAGAATACATTCACAAAACGACAGAAAATTGCATCGAAGTAAACGAGCACCACCACCACCGCAACAACAACAACAACCAGGAGATTATGATAGTCTTCCGTTAGGAATTATTAATCCTTCACAAGTAAATAAAAAGAAACAAGTCAAACATTCATTCATCAAGCCCAAACGACAATCAATACATGAGTCAAATACATTATTCACTGGATCAAGTTTTACAAATTTTGGAAAAAAACAAAAAATTCTAGGTGTAAGTTGTAGTGTGTCGTTTTTTTTTACTGTGTATTCTTAAGCTCGGTAATTAACTCGTTCAGACAATCGTTGCCAAATAGCGTCTGACGGTTTATAAATCAGAAGATGAATTCGATGAAGATGAATACGTTTATTTTTGGAATACACCACAAAGCGAAGTTGGAAAGCAGCGAACAAAGCGTACGAAACGACATGAATTGGAGAAGGCTAATGAGCCAACTCAAAGAGATAGACCGTGACTAAAAATATATATAGTCAGACAAATATATGAGACAGACATGAGTTAAGCGAAATAGGCACACATCAATAAAAGCGACGACTACTTGATAAGGTCAAATGGCATGTCATGTGAACTCATCACACAAACCAGACAATAATAAGAACGAATGGTACATATAAATTTTTGCTGCAATACACAAATGGCTTGGCCAAATAAATTAATCGAAAGGGCTTAACCAAGTTAGATGTAAGTGAACTGGAATATATGTGGAGGCACTACAAAGTCATAGAAACAATTAGTTAGGAGTATAATAACTAATCGAAACCATGAGTTGATCATTTTTAGACCATCATTAAAAACCTGGAAGCACTGAGAGACGACCGTTTCGTCCCGATATGAGACCTATCAATAATGCGCATCTACGACTCCTGCTACTCTCAGCATTCGAACACAGGACAGCTGGGGTCTTGCGCACGAACGCCTAACCTCTCAACCACTGGGCTGGCATTCAACGGTGTTAATGTCTAACTGTGATCATTCTAGGGATTTCGTGCCACCCCACGCATTTGTCTTCAGTAATGACTGCCTAAAACCGGAAAGGGTTGAATTTCACTGGTCACGTCTTCTCATTAGAACTCCGAGAATTTTCTCATGAAACTAGTCACTAGTGAGCATATTGTAAGGTTTTTCTAATTGTGGTCTAACTGTGATTATGAAATTACAGAGTTAATTGGTAAAATAAGAAAAACATATCGTAAATCGTTCATTTGCAAAATATCAATCCATAAATATCGAACTGGACTGTTCCTGTTGCAAAACATCAATCCATTGTCACTATTCATGCGTTTCATACAAATTCCATTGTGTTCTTCTAACTCTTCCTTTCTTGATCTTCCCCCATCTTGTGCTGCCAGACATTACGTTTACACTCGCGTCATATACTACTTGCAAGTAGCGCGCACCACATGTCTACTAAAGGCATACACTCATGCACTATCATACAGGACATATAAACTGACGTGAATCTAATCACTCATTGATAAATTCGATAAGTATCACTATAATAGTTCGTTCGACAATGACTACAGAATTGTATACATCCAATATTATATTAGGTGATGAAAAAAATGTCATATTAGTAAGACTGATTCTTAAAAGTTTTCTAAATGAATGAATATGAATGCCTAATAGTCATCGTTTCAAAAAAAACTTGATGCACATAGTCTTAATATAGTTTAAAGCTAAACGGTAAGAGATATAAAATTTTAGTTTAAATATTGTACATTTCATATTGGAAATTCTTTAATGTGATTCAATATATGATATTGAGTAAAGTGATTATTATTATTATTATTATTATTATTATTATTATTATTCAATGTCCCAGATATTGTTAATCTTGATTTTGACCAATTTGGTCTCGTGTGCTGGTACGGGTATGAGGGGGCGGTTGTCACTTCCCGGCTGCCCACACCGTGGAAGGTTGTTTCTTGAGGAACCTGAAAAGGAAGGTAGATTAGTGTTGGTCTTAGTGACCTGGGAGCGTGACCGCAGAGCCCAAGGGACAGCTGCTTGGGGCCGGTCACGCACGGCCTTTTTATGAGAAGTTTTTTGAGTATTAGCTCCGCTCTTGAAAGCCCTTAGTGGGCACCCTTACCGACGGAGACGGAAATCCGTGAGGTAGAGTGAGGTGTGACATTTTTAGGGTCGACCTTCTCTAACCCTTCCTTCCTTGTGAGAAGACAGCATCGCTGCAGATGCTGGTTGTCCGAGAGAAACACCTTACTGCTGTCACACCCTTCTACAGTCAGCAATACGACTTCGCCCTCAGACCTTGAGTAGCTGCTTTTAGTCTCATCGTTCTCCAATCGACCAGCCTGGCATCGTAGGACCTGCAGGAACATATGTTCTAGCCAGTATTGCTCAGCTGGGTCATTACGATAGGTAAGCCTGACCACCACGTCAAGGTAGCAGCTACGGTCGGGATATTGTTAATCTACCAAATTACAAAGTAGGTTGACTCCAAAATGAAATTCACACATTCACTACCTATAGACTTTGATTTCAAATTAAAAACATCCCACTGTCTACCAGACATATTTCGATAAATTGGAAAAAAGAATATCAGTAAAACTACTGTGGTGGCCGGTGCCTCACTAGTTCGGCGGCGGTCAGTATTCAATACGATCTTAGACTTTGTTTGCTGCTTGACCAGATAATCATTACTAAAATAACGCCTCACAGTTTTTTATAACTCAAAAACAGAAATACGAAGTGTTGAATAGGTTTATTTGGTGTACCACGAATTGACTACAAAACCATGGGCACATGAAGCGAAAATCGATATGCCAGTGACGAAAGGCAAGCAAACAAGCGAATGAGCGAGTTAGCTGTTGTATGAATAAGATTAAAATGTACAATATATACATAGGAAAATGAATGAGTCACCGAAATGCTTAAGAGGCTAACACCATTGAAGAAAATAGAATTAATATGCGCGTAGGCTCAAACAAGAACTCTGCTAGTAGAACCTTCGGGGCTACTGCCTGTCCCAAGCCCGGGTAAAGGAGGAGGGTTGGACATGGGGTTGGCGACCTCATTCCGTCGAAATCTCACTTGCCAAAAAAACGCTAACCAGAAAAAATAATTCAAACCATTTTAACTGTGCCCTGTGAGTTGAAAGAAGAATCATGACGTCTCGTGATGTAAGCCGAGTTCCCTTGGTAGTCACGAGGCCAATGCCTCTTCGGAAAACCAGAGCAACCATTCTTTTAGGTATATGGAACGTTCGTACATTGTGGGAGACTGGAAGACTATTTCAAGTTGCGGCAGAAATGAAAAGATACAACCTCGAGGTGCTCGGCATCAGTGAAACGCATTGGACACAGGTAGGACAACTGAGACTTGCTTCAGGAGAACTGCTGTTATACTCTGGTCATGAAGAGGAAAACGCTTCACATACACAAGGAGTTGCACTGATGCTGTCCAAACATGCACAAAAGGCACTGATAGGATGGGAATCTCATGGTCTACGCAAAATACTTCGCATTCGTTGGCCAGACAACATCAGCAACAACGAACTGTGGGAGAGAACAAACCAGATTCCAGTGGAGGAGGAAATCAGGAAGAAGCGGTGGAAGTGGATAGGACACACACAACTAAAAGCACCTAACTGCATCACGAGACAAGTCCTCACATGGAACCCTCAAGGCAAAAGGAGTAGAGGAAGGCCATGGAACATATTACGCCGAGAAATAGAGAAAGATATGAGAGGAATGAACAAACATTGGACAGAACTTGAGAGGGAAGCTCAGGACAGATTTGGTTGGAGAAAACTGGTGGGCGGCCTATGCTCCATTGTGGGTAACAGGCGTAAGTAAGTAAGTAAGTAAGGCTCAAACAACAGCGACAGCACAACGGTACAGATATGTTATTCCTATACGAATCACTTAGTTAAATAAGTTAATCAAAAGCCTTAATCAAATTATAAATATGGACAGGCTCAAATGTATGCAAAAGGTAATATACTACTATCTATCTAACTTGAACAAACACCTTACCAAAAAATCTGCATCAATTCATAGATATCTAACTATATGGCATAATGCATATTGCTTGCTTTAAGAATGGTACTGCTACTGTGGTGTGCTACTTATACGAACGATATAAGTAGTATAAGAAGGGACGTGAAAGAAGAAGTCCCACGGTCAGAAGAGGAAAACGGAAAGCGAATGGAGCAAAAGCAAGAAGTAAATGGAGTACCAACAGGAAGGGAAGGAAACAACAACAACAGGAATGGAAGAAGGATGGAGCGTTGGAAGTCAGGACTCAAAGAGGGTGTGCAAATAGAATGTTTAATGTAATGTTTTCGTTTTTAATTGACTAAGAGTGTAAATTCGCTAAATACAATCTATCGCGCCAGTCTCAGTCTTCTCACTACTACTAAAAGTCACTCCTCAAAACGTTTAACTAACACATACACAGAAATCAAATCAAGTCAAGTCACTTCAAACGTTTGTAAATTTCATGACATTCTATTGTCTTTTTAAACTTAACAAAACATTTAAAACAATTAGTCCTATTTATAAATTTTAATAGAACAGTGAGAAGACGTAATTGATCAGAAAAATAGTGTGATGTAGTTGCGCGCCATACATTTCGAACAATCTGGTCACACACATATCACACTTGTCAAGGCATTTTATACATGAAGAATAATAAAAGGTCAATTTTAATAAAAGTTCCAATAGACACAAGGTGATAATTGTAAATAAAGGAGAGAGAGAGAGAGAATTAACGTAATGTAGAAAGGAAAAGAAAGAGTAAGAAATAGTCACATTACCCTAGTGGTCCAGAGGTTAGGCGTTCGCTCACAATACCTGAGTTCGAATCCTGCGCAGTGCAGGAGTCGTGGATGTGCACTGCACTGATGAGTCCCAGACCGGGACGAAACGGCCGTCTAGTGCTTCCAGGCTTTCAATGGTGGTCTAACATTGATCGATTCATCATTTCAAAATGTGTAACATTACCATGAGCCATACAATCACTTAAAGATTAACAGGGTAAATTCAAGGTTATGATAAATTGTTTCCGTACACATAAAGGAGTGTTTTAATTTAACGAATAGCCAAGGCTTCTATAAACCTCAAAATTCGTCCTTCAACATTTCTATACAATGTTTTGAAGGCTGTCTTGATGGTCAATCTTATGCTCTGTGTCATTAATGTGTTTTATCGTTTATCGGCTCATCTGACGTTAACTGATTTTGAAGTCACTTAGGTATTTTATATTCCATAACCCTTGATTGCAAAGTCCAATTACTCCGCCCTATGT